GACGGCAGCTGCTTCCCAGCCTCCTGGGGCTGTGGTCAGTGCCGCTCAGCAGGAGCGTCTCAGCTGGCATTGCCCCCGGGCTCTGGAGCATTGAGGAAGGCAGCCCTGGCAGGACAGGGAGAGCCCCCAGGACCGTCCCCGTCACAGTGCAGGGACAGGGCCTAGTGACAGGGCCCACACACTCCTCCTGCAATCTCCCAACACACACACACATGCACACACACAATGTATATACATCTCGTCCTTAAAATCTTAGGATGGGGGTGGAATGCGTCCCAGTGCTCACGCGTGAGTCTGCTGAGAACCAGGCCAGCCCTGGGTGATTCCGAAGAACTGTGACGTGTCCTTTCTACGCGGAAGAGAAGTCGTTTGTTGGGGTGGTGGTTTTGTGTCTTTAAAGGCACAGACATCTTGGCCTGCTTTGTGGCTCAGGCCCAGGCTCTTCTTTCTTCTTCTTTCCCGTTGACCCTCCTATGACCTGCCTGCCTTTGGCAATGAGAGCAAGCGGCGTGTCTGTCACCTGGACGTCTGTACGGTAGCTTTTGACCTGCGAAGGAGAACTTCCCGGTTCTGTAACCCCCATAGTTATCACTATGGACAATCCTCGCACCTGTTGCAGAAAAAAGTCACCAGAGACCTTCAAACTGCAAACCCGAGCCCATCAGGCTGTCGCCGCCTGCCTGCCGTCTGCCGAAGAGGTTATGAGCGAGTCGTGCATTCAGAAACCCTCTGGACTGGCTGCCAGTGGACTCGAAGCTGGGGTTCTAGCCTGCTGGTCACTAACCATTGGGAGCCTTTGCTCCCATAGGGAGGCCTCTTAGTATTGCCTGACTGCTTGCATCACAGGCCTAAGTTGGAGAAGCACCTGCATCATCGCTACCTGATCAGATCAGGTCGATCAGGTCAACCGATTGGACTACATTGATTATTAGTTCAGCCAATTGGATTAAGTTGATTAGATTTAGGAGAATGAGAGAAGCGAGAGATGAGAGAAAATTGAGAGAATGAGGATTGATTAGATTAGCCAATTAGCTCAGCTTTTGGGGGCTACGCTCTTCAGAGGACCCCTTCATCAGAAAATCCCTGGTAGCCATTCCCTGTGGTTCCTTTGGAAGTTCTCACATGTGAGTATGTTAGGGTAGGACTAGGGGTAGGGGTAGGGGTAGGACTAGGGGTAGAGGTAGTGGTAGGATTAGGGGTAGGGGTAGGGGAAGTGTTGACTATCAACTACGGAATGCCTAGGAGCCACCGTACCGCCGTGGCTTTGGGGGAGACTCCTTATCGATGTTGACATTTTGCAGAAGTTTGCAGCCCTGGAACTAACCTTGAAAGATTCTCCAAATAAACAGGATGGTCCATGGTCTGCTGGGGCTACCGTTGGGGCTCACTGAGGAAGTGGACAAAGTCCATGAGTAAAGCGAGCCCAGTAGGAGTGTGTTGGGAGGGCAAATGTAGGCATGCAAGACGACAGGACCACTTCCCCACCTCCTGTATGAGCGTGTCGTGGAGGAGGGCTTGGTGACGTGGGCTCTGTCACTCAGTAATTATATGAATATCGGCAAATTACCGCATCTCTCTCTCTCTGCATCTCAGTGACCTGATCTTTAAAGGGGGGGAAATAAGATCAAATTTGTAATCTGTCTTCTGGATTAAGTGGAATGGTGGGAGAGTGTCTGGCCCAAAGAATGTACAACATCCAGAGTGAACCCTAAGAGAAAGTATGGGCTTTGGGTAGTGTGGCCGTGTAGGTCCGTTCTTGGTAAAAAGGAAAAGAAAATAGCGCTGTGTGAGGGGTGCTGATAACGGGAGAGCGTATGCATGTGTGAGAGTAAGTGGTGTATGGGAAAGCTCTGTACCGCCCTCAATTTTATTACAAACTTAAAACTGCTCTAAAAAATTAAGTTTATTTTTAAAGCACACGCGAAAGAGAGAGAAAAGAAAAAAAAGCAGTACAATGATTCAAAGAAAAAAATACTTCTAATAATAAATTTAATAGAGCAGAAGTTCAGACACACTTGAAAAATAATTTCAAGATATTCTATTAAGCATTCCCCAAAGAATAATTTGTGCTTGGCTTTAAAAAAAAAAAAAGGAAATTGTAGGTTACTAACTTGGCAATATCACTGAATTAGATATTATTTCTACCTACAGTTTCCAAACATTCAAATCGCACCCTGTGAAATTCCCTTTAACAATAACTGTCCGTGAAATTACAGAAGTCGTCCAGGTGTTACCAAGTAGCAGCTGGTTTCAGAGATGAATCAGACTGTCCAGAGTTAGAAGTTCATGTGCGATCTTTCCGGGAAGGAGAGAAATCTGATGGAACAAATACCGTAAGAAGCATACGTGGGATCCCAGGACAGCTTAGCAGAGCCAGCCCCTCCTTAGCCCACGTTCCATCTTCACGCCGACCATGTGTATTTAGGTCGCCTGCTGCCACCTCTCAAACGCCACTTCATTTTCTCAGTTAAAATCCACTGTATGGCCCTGGCCGGTTTGGTTCATTGGATAGAGTGTCGGCCTTTGGACTGAAGGGTCCCAGGTTCGATTCCGGTCAAGGGCATGTACCTTGGTTGCGGGCACATCCCCAGTGGGAGGTGTTAAGGAGGCAGCTGATCGATGTTTCTCACTCATCGATGTTTCTAACTCTACCCTCTCCCTTCCTCTCTGTAAAAAAATCAATAAAATATTTTAAAAAATCCACTGTATGTTCTCCATCAGGAAGCCCTGAAGATAGATGTTTGTCTTTCAGTCCTCATTTGATTTCTTTCTTTTTTAAAAAAATATATATTTTTATTGATTTCAGAGAGGAAGGGAGAAACATCAATGATGAGAGAGAATCATTGATGGGCTGCCTCCTGCACGCCTCCCCCTGGGGACGGTGCCAGCAACCTGGGCATGTGCCCTTGATTGGCGTCGTACCCGGGACCCTCCCTCCGCAGGCCGGTGCTCTATGTACTGAGCCAAAACGGCCAGGGCCGCATTTGATTTTAGAGCTCATGTCTGACCAGTTATCAAGTTTTAACGTTTTTCTGGTGACAAGTAAAGCAGACTGGCAGTTACTTCTTACTTCCTTTCTTCAGCCTCAGCCTGGAAGGGAAAGGAAATTCTAAATGTAGTGACCACAGCTCAGTCATTTGCTTATCGATGGAAGAAGGTGCCCCTGAGTTTAAAAATAGCGCTTGCCTGGCGTCTGGGGATCCACATCTATTCTTGTCTCAGCTACCAACTCGCCCTGTGACATCGATAAGACACTTCCCCTCTCTGCTCTGTCGGATTGGTGGGGGCGTGGGCGGCGTTCTAAAATACCTTCCGCGTCTAAACCCTGTGATTCACTCCTCAGAGGAGTCCGTTTCTTTCCCACACAGAGGCACTTGTCACTTGTCAGTTTGCGTTCCTGCCCAAACCACGGCCGCTCTCGGCCCTACAACCAATCCACCTTTGACCTTCCTCACAGATTTAACTTCCTAAACACCATTTTCCTTGTTTTTTTCTGACCTAAAGTGGCTAGCGGTGTGACTTCGATCAGGCCACAGTCCAGATCTTTCCCAGTCGCCTGCCACTGGAATTTCTCCCCAGGCCAGTCACCTACGGAACCAACCGTTTTGCTTCGGCCTGGCTCGCTATGAACACAGACATGCCCCGAGCATTCTCCTTGCTCCCTGGTGCCCGTGCCCTGCACCTCGCCTCTCTAACTGGAATGCCCTCCTGGTTCCTTGCTGCCCACTCACATTCCACAGCCTCCACAGAGTCTACTCGAATGACCCCAAACTAGAAACGCTCCATCTCGCAGCTGAGCTGTCACATCACAGGAGGAGACCTGAGTGTTGATAGCGGGGCTGCCAGGCCTCAGGGACAGAGCTGCCAGGCTCGGTGCCTTGGCTGGAGGGGGCTCCGCTCTGCGCTCCCGCAGTCGCCCTGCTGAAATGTTTCCAAAAAAGCAGTGAGTAGGTGCCCCAGCTCAGACTGGGGGGCCTGCCCTTAACTCATTGGCACCATGCTTGCCCACACGGCTTGCTGCACGCCCCTGGGGTTTCCTGGGGAGGAGCAGCCCGAACGTTCTGGAGAACTGACAGCCCAGGAGGAGCCCTCAACAGGTGCAGGGTGAGTTTGTGGATAAACACCCTGCTGTCCTGGTCCCTCAAGGAGCACCGTTCTGAGGAGGGTTCCCCACGGCCTCCCGGAGGCCTCCAGGGGCTCTGAGTCCCAGTGGCCCCCATGGGTAACCCGCCCACGATGCTCCCTGTAGACCTTCTCGTTCTGCCCAGTCTTCCTTCTCCATTTCCCTATCAGAGCTTTGGGAGGTCAGCGGCTGTATAAACTACTCACACCCAGATACTTGTACTGGGGTCTGCTTCTGAGGAAAATGGATCGGTTTTCTATATATTTTGTTTAACTTTTTTCTTTTGCCCTGGTTTGATTTACATACTTTATTTTTTTAAAATATATTTTATTGATTTTTTACAGAGAGGAAGGGAGAGGGATAGAGAGTTAGAAACATCGATCAGCTGCCTCCTGCACACCTCCCACTGGGGATGTGCATGCAACCAAGGTACATGCCCTTGACTGGAATCGAACCTGGGACCCTTGAGTCCGC